TTTTTTTCAGAGCTATGAGACCCTAATAACAGACTTTTATTAAACAAATGCATTATTTTGTTTTATCAACAATAAAATCTGAACTAAGATTTTTAGAAAAGTTGCTGGCAGGGATTTGGAGTACTAAATGGTGTCATTAATTCAGCGTTGAAACGGGGATCGTGGGTGCTCAGGCACAAGAGAAATTTTAGAAACCGACTTTTTCCTTTTTACCCTAAAATCGCAATTAAGACGCCACTGTAAGATGACGTGTGTAAATGTTAATTAATTAAGTCACTGAACACTAAAGATTTATCAATTACCCGAAAGAATGTATGTAAGGCAGTAAATGGTCAGAAACAGAAACCTCAGTGCAAAACAAAATGAAAATAAAAACATCTGAAGTCTTCTTAGGCCTACTAGGAACGTTCCAAGCAAGCCTATCTATGAAAGCGATCAAACTTGAATTGATTAAGTAGCCTTTCCCGGTATAACAGCAAGTCATACCACCAGTTAACCGTCTTCAGCAGAAAAACGTTATCTTCTCGGCGGAATTATTTGCCAAATATGTTTTACTCAAAATTTCCATCGTTTCATTTGCTTAAATGGAAATCAAACCAGTAATTAAACATTTGATTTTTAACATTTTTAATTCCCTCTTAATTAATTAACTAATTAAGACCCTAAGGGGACTCGCTTAAACTAAACCACGGCTGTTATAAACCGCCTTTCATCCAGTTGTAGGGCTCTTTAATATCATAGGGAAGCCAAAATTAAACTTAGTATAAAACAAGTCGAGTTCTCAAACGCGGCTTCTTGTAGCCTACATCATGAACTTCAACGTCCCTGATCGAGGACTGGGGTTACGTGGGATGAAACACGAATTATCCGTGACAATGTTGAAAGTTTCCATCTAATCTTCCATTGTGAACGAAACTATGGGCGCCGGTTTAAACAAAATTTAAAAACACGATTAGACGTTGTAGTTATCAGGGCGCTCTCGTGGGTCCTAGCAAATTACCTTTTGCATAAAAATACGGTATACTTTAGAAAGTTTACATTAAATGATCCATTTAAAACAAACATATTGCTGGTCGTTAGAATAAAGTCTGCGTCGTCAATAATATTTCCTTTCTCTTTAGCTAAAAGTCCATAGATTGGTGCCACAGATCTTGTACTTAAAGGGATAATAACTCTTCGTATGAAATCTGTATTTCACAATAAAAAACATTGTGAGTGATATAATATATTCTGTTTTCCCACAAAAACAGCTGTTATAGCTATTATTCTGATATCTGAGCTTGTCTTTAGACCACATGACCTCCATCGATGGCTATACTCTGTTAAAATCTCTTAAGAGATTTTAACAAAAAACCAAACTTTTTAGAAAAAAACCAGGGACTAACTTTGAATGTAAAAATGGATTCATTAACCATTGGTAAGTATGGGAAAATTGTTGTTTACTCCAGAAAAATTCATTTTTTGGCCGAAATGAAGAGTTATTATCACTTTAAATTGAGCTGTAGCTAACTCCGTATGTTCTGCATTTCATCAAAATGTGCTATCTTCTCGGTGGGATTATGAGATAGAACATTTTTATTTTTTTTTACAAAAGCCTCTATTGCTTTTAACAAGAACACATTTTGTCTTTTCATGCCTTCCTTTCCTTTTCTGCGCCCTTGCTTCTCAAGACTGTTCATGTGTTCATACAGTACCAGGGGCAAGTCCGCGGTCGTCATTTGAACGAGTAAAGACTACTCAATACTAAAACCGCCCAGGTGTGAACAGCTGTGGACCTCATCGCACTGTATATCGTCCAAGGCGAAAGGAAACGTTATCTCAGTGCAAAACANCCCTTTAACTATTGTCCATTAAAAGTGAAATTGGTCTGGTAAAATTTTGCAGATGTGTGCAATTACAGTACTAACCACACATTTGAGAGCATTTTCAATTCCAGCTTCTATTATTTATCAATAGGGTTGCTATCAATCTGCCAAAAAAATACCACCTCATGAGGGTTCTCTCAGGTACCAGAACTAGTCAAGAGACGAGGCAGCTGGAGATTTTGGGGTACAAAGTAGTAATGGTAAGCTATGCTAATGTCTGTAAAGTTATCTAAAGGTGCATTCAGGCAGATATAAACATGGACTGGTTCAGACATAAATGATGTCACCAGATTATTTTAAAGCCAAAGATTAGGTCAGGACCCATCCACTATTGATTTTTTTTCCATTTATGTATATTTTATGTAGATGGCCTTGTAAATGGATTAGGTATTTATTAATACTACCAGCAGATCTTTTAGCACTAACACCCATATTAACCACAAATCCCATAAGTTAAAAAACACACCGTAAAAGTATTTACCACTACCAAAGCAGATGAATGTTAGTGCTAGGAATTGCTCTGGTAGTGGTAAATACTTTTAGGATGTGTTGGTTATTTGTGGGTTATGTGGTTAATATGGGCGTTAGTGGTAAAATATCTGCGGGTAGTGTTAGTAAAAGCCAAGACCAAACACCAATTTAGGTTTGTCTCTGTCTTAATGCATCTTTAATTCTCACCCAGGTGTCGCTGTGCTAACAACATAAGAAAAGCCCTCATGGACATGAAAATAAGACACTATATAGCTCTACATAACCAGTAACCTTTTTACTAGTATTAGAATCATCATTTAATACATGTACAGAATGTATCCTGATTGAATTTTTTCTTTGGTAATAATTGCTCTCAAGAATGTAGCATACAGTGGATTGCAAGTACCTGTTAATGACTTCTCCCATGACGGGTGCTTCAAACAGTGGAATAATTTGTTTCATTTGAAACCCATTCCCCTCTAGGAGGCAGAGTACAAGTATAATTCACCTATATTTAAAGCTTCGACCCCAGTTTAATACCGGGTATAATAGGTGCCAGTAATTTCTTAGAAATAATTGAAAAATGAAAAAGTGGATTGGCACTTGACACCTGTTTTTAATTGTAAGAATGTTTTGTGTTACCCTTTCCATTACTTTTTAGCTACTCCTCATAATTGCTTTTTCATTACAGCTGTTCCCTAAAATTTGGGAGAGCTATCACCTGTGGCGCCAACAAGAGTTTCTACGCCAAGCAATTTCCGACATGGGCCACAACACTGAAGGTGAAGGTCATTTAAAAGACTTGAATGAGGAGAATTATCTTCAGGACTAAGTGTGGTCGGGTACCATTATGGCATTGTTCTCAAAACTGGAGCACTGAACTTCATGGCTAATTTCAGTTATCACACAGAGAAGGATGAA